CCTCTTTCGTTCCATCTTCTTCCTCTTCTTTCTTCCTTTGTGTGAACTTAGCACTGTTGGGTTCTGTCAAACCTAGTGGATAGGTTCCGCCGAACCCAACGAACCTAGCAAATTTGGGTTCGATGAAACCCAGTGACTGGGTTATTTGTTGCGAATGAGCAATTGAGTTTATGCAAATTGCAAGTTGTGAGGGATTTTTGGGATCCTTTTGCTTTATATTTCCTAACTATTGTCTAAATGATTTTAATGTTCAAAATGGAAAGAACATCGCCGATGATGGAAAGAACAAAGCAGTGACCAATGGGCAAAGAAGCAATTTTCAATGGGTTTCCATTTGCTTTGGTAAAAAATTGTACAGTTTGGGCGTTTGGATTGGTTTCAATCAATGTTTTGGAATAAATATTATATTAATAGGTGTTTGGTTGTCGAGAAAATTGTCATCATTGTTAAGAAAATTTGTTGAGAAAATTGTGATTTAATTAGCAATTAATTGGATCTTAATTTTGATTAAAATAAGTAATTATAGTTTAATGAATGAATTAAAAGGTGGGGTTTATAGCTCAGTTGAGGTGGAATCTGACTTGAATAACTTTTATCCATATAAGCATATTGTTTTACTTTAATTTACCACATCATTAAAAAAATATAAAAAATACCACATATACAGAGTTAATGGCATAAATTGATGGAAGGACCAAAATTGTGTAGCATTTAGAGTTGAGAGATCAAAAAAATGCAAAATAAAAGATCAGAGACTAAAAAAGTGCAAAACCATAAACTTAAGGGACAAAATTAGCATTTTACCTTTTTTTTTGGCTCCTTTTAAATTTCTACAATAAATTTTTGATGATGGAGCAAGCTAATCAATAGATGTATCTTTTTCATTTTTATTTTTTTAAAATTATGTTAATGTCAATTGTAGTTTCTAAACTTTCAATTTTAAATATTTTTTGTCATTAAATTATTTAAAGTAATTTTTAATATCTTAATTGTCAAAAATATACTTTTTTCTGTCTTCTAATTAAGTAATGATGTGACCATTAACTCATTTAAAAATTCATTTTCCTTCAATTTTTTGATGACATATCCATAATATAAGTCTCACTGAAAATACTTTTAGACTCCTTAAATTTACCATAAGCTAATTTAATGATGGATAAAAAAAGTATCATTTTGAATTGAGTTGATGTTCATGCCATTCTTAATTGACGGAAAAACAAAAAAAGGGGTACTTTTTGGGATTGAAGGTAAAAAAAAAAAAAAAAAGCTTAAAATTGTTTGAGGACCAAAGGTATTTAAAATTAAAAATTTAGAAACTAAGATTAACATTTAACCTTTAAAAAATGGCATATAGTATGAACCTTTTATAGATGATGACATGACAATTTATTTAAACAAATGCAATCTTCAATGACGTGGAGTACCTATTTGTAGAACATAAAAATTTAATTATAAAAACGTAAATTACAAAGTTGTCCTTAACCATCCCTCTTCAAAGTTGGTCCGTTATGTGGCCGTTACCATCCGTCACCCTTTCCTAGCAAGCGCCAAGCAAACGTTGGATCTACCACCATACAAGGAAACAAGTGATTCTCAACTGCTTCGTGGGGTATTGATAATTTAATTGAGTATTTTATTTTAAATATAAATAAAATGTTTTTGCATATTTTAGTTTTTAGAAAATTTTTGAAAAATTAAAGTTAATTACTTTAATAATAACCATTCAGCTATCCTTAAAGCAATCTTAGCAAGGAAAATAAAGAAAAAAGAAGTAAATAACACAAACTACTCCTAAATCAGCAGAACCTTCCAAGATTGAGAACAAAGCTGGAGTCACTCTTTTACATGATGTACATTGTTAGCAACCATTTGACAATGCCATTATTGCATGGGTAAGATATATTCTTGAAGTTTAGAAACCTCATTAAAATCATAATTTGAGGAAGAAAAAGCCTCCACGATCTTCATCGTAGGTTTAGGGAGTTCTTAGCGACTTTCGAGATATATTGTTTACCCTCTTTATGGGTTTCTCTTACTATCTTAAATTTGGTTTGATAACACTTCTTGATGCATTATTTTTTTATTTTTATGTCTTTTTATTATTTTAAAAATATATAAAATATTAATTAAAATAAATATTAAATACAAAAAATATATTTTATATATTTTTGAAATGTTAAAAGATTAAAAAACCTACAGCTGCAGCTACAAACAACATCGTCGAATTAAACATTTTTGTCAAACTAAACCTTAATCAAATCATTTTGGGCCTTCTTTGCTTGAATCTTTAGCTGTTCCAATGTTTCTTTCAAAATGAACATCATTTTCTAACAAATACTTCAATATATAAGAGAAATTAAGACAATCCAATAAAAGCAAAGAAAATTAAGATAATCCATTCCCGCATGCATTCACATTTGGGAAATTAACATGCATTCAGCCCAGAATAATTTTTTATTGTTCTATTCTCTCTTTTGTTTTATAATCGGTGAAATCTAACCATAAAAACAAAAATAAAACCAAAAGAATTGACTTAAACACAACTAACCTAAATCACTGGAGCACAACAAAAGTATTCACCCATCAAAATCCATCTAACTTGATTTGGACTTTCAAGCCTCACTACCTCACATGATTGTATAGAAAAAATTGGTCTCCTTAATTATATTCCTATAATGATGAATTTAGATAGATCAATATTGAAAGAATGCTGATCTATTTTAGAAAAAAATGATCTATTTTAATCTCTATACATAAAATCAATGAAATTTAGTGGAGATTGTGATTTCCTTAGTTTCCAACACATTATCGAGAAATTAGTCTTGTTTTTTTCCTTCAAGTTATCATTTTCTACTGAACCAAGCATCCATCAAAGCCAATTTCATCTGTTATTCACCACCAAGGTAATCCTACTTCAGCACAAACATGATGCATTAATGAAAGACTCCATGAAGTTGAAATTTCTGAAATTTGAGGGACTGACCTAAGCAAGATCAATTTTAGGGAAATTCTTATTCTAGTGTTTGGCTTCCCAATTAGATATCTATGCAATCCTTGAGGCACTTCTTTTCAGGGATAACTGAAAATCCCTTATTATCTATGTTTCATAATTCCAATATGATATATCCATTTTTAGGAACTAAAAATCCTCCCATGATAGCAACCTAATTCTAATTTTATGCCATAGCAAAATCTTGAAAGTAACACTATTTGGTTAATAACCCATAATACAACAATGACTAAAGTTGAAACTACATAGTCTAAACTTGTTGGTAGAATATCAACTACTAAAAAAAAGAAGCTCCACAATTAAATCCCCCCTCCCCCCCTTTTTTTTTTGGGGGGGGGGGGGGTATATAGGGTAATTGTGGCTCCATATTTACTAAGCTACTTTGAGAAATTTGTGGCAATCACATACCTTTAGATCCTGGCCATTAACTTTGATCATAAGTAGCTTTATGTCTTCTCCTTCCAAAAACAATGGAACGTAAGAACCTGTTGGAGAAAACAAATGGTGATGGTGGTATAGAGTCCTTGAAAGTCAAGCTTGAGCACCAAATCTTGTCATAGAATAATATCATTTTAGCAATTCTCAACTTCCGTATTGTTACCTTCTCCCCCATTTCTTCTTCTCTCTCTCTCGTCTTATTTAGTTGCCCATAGTCTTCTACATTTTGTGCAACCCAATAGGTACCGCATAATTTGATGCCTTCTTTTTCCCTATCATTTAATAATTTGTGGCAATTCCTCTATGACAAAGAATTATGTAAATAATAATGAAAATATTAAAAAATTAAACAATTGCCAAATATTTCTACCCTTCTAAATTAAAACTATGATTCTTCTAATATTACCATGAAAGTAATATCTTGTGTCTCCACCATCCTTATTCTTCATAATATATTCTTGAACATATGAAATTTTAA